AAAACCCCACTTGAAACCCAGCGTTTTTCCTGCGCGCTTTCGTGCTTTCAATACGGGCATAATTATCTGCAAAAGTTTGATGGCGAAGCTGTATTTGGTGTTGGGACTCCGGGTCCTGCCGGTCTCGTTTTCGGTAGCTGGCCCCGTCGCAGGATCCATCGTCCAACAATTCAGCGAGAAGAAGCGCCCGAACGAACGACATGGCAACGCTGATGGCTTAAGTCGATGCCCCTGACGCGAGAGGATGTCTCGAGAACTCTGGCATTTTTTTTCCTGACCTAGACAAGGGCTAGTGATGGTTTTTTTTTTTTACTCTTTTAGGTGTACTTGTTTGAAAACGTTGAAGACACGGCTATCCAGGGTTTCGGGTTCGGTGTGCTTCCAGTGTTGTTGTTTTGTGTCACCTTAACGTATGAGTAACATTTTGAATAAATTGTGTATTTACTTTAATATCAGTTAAAGGGGAAAATTGCCTGGTGCAGTTTGGCGGAATTGTCCGGCGCTCACTGGCTGAGTAGTTGTGTTTTCACGTGCGTATGTGATGTCTGTTGAGCCCACAATGAAGCAAGTGGTGCCCTCTACTTCATCAAAGACGGTCGTCACCAAACCAACTGCCGGCGCTGATCTCTCCGGACAGTGGCTGCAAACCTCAGACCATCGAGATCTTTCCCCCCCCCCCCCCCCCCCCGCGCGAGAGACAGTTACGACCGGCCCTAGGGAACCAAGCAAGAGGAGTTGCGGGGAGAACCGGTTCTTGACCGACTGTGTCGTCGACCCCCACCTCCCCATTCAGGCTCCCCCCTCTCGCCGGGAGAATTCCGGAATCTGCTGTGCGTTCGTGACCATGTTTGGGCATTTTTTTTTGCTCGGTCAACGAGGCGTAATTGACCCCTTCCAATTCGGGAGGAGGTTCATCGTCGCCTTTAGGAATGGTTGCCTCCGCGACTACGGCTTCTGCAGCCTGTTCTCGCACAAGTCGATTTGTTACCGTGGTGTCCAACTCGCAACCAGGCCCGTTGTCGATTTGAGGCTTGTTTGCCTCAGTGAATGTTGCTCTCGCAGCCAGCGCACGTGCCTTCGATTTAGTCAGTGCCTGCACTATGCCTTCTCCTAACGTTAGACCTTTCTCCTTCAGCATTTGATCTGACTTATTTGAAAATAAGTAAGGATACTGAGGGGGTAGATATGGCGACACCGTGGCTTCCGTTTCCAACGTACCAAATGCGCCTTTAAGGACAACTTTAGCTACGGGAAGGCACTGACTGTTTGCTTCTACGGCTTGTCTAATCCAGGCACAGTCTCCTGAATACTGTCCGGACTGAACAAAGGACGGATGAACTACGTCCATAGTGGCTGCGGAGTCTCTAAGAACCCGACACTGCTTGCCGTTCACGGTAAGGTCGTACATATAGGGCTCTGACAACTTCATGTTCTCGTCGGCTTCATTTATAGATAAAAAGGCCACTTTTTCTTTTGGGCAATGTTTCGCGAAGTGCCCTGTTTCGTGGCAATTGAAACAAGCCGCCGGTTTTTTCGCCTCAAATTTCCTTTTGCTTGCCTCTGCCGACGCCCCATGGTTAGATGTCTTGTTTTCCTCACCCTTTTGTGCGAGACTTGTCGGTTGTTTTCTAAACGGCGCCTTATTCGGTAGTAGGAATTTTTCCCTTTTAGGCTCGCTGTTAGCCCCGAGGGCGCGGCGCGTAACGAATTCTTCAGCGAGCTCTGCGGCTTTCGTTACGGTGTTCACGTCCGGTCTATCCTGCACCCAGAACCTCACCTTTTCTGGTAACCTTTGATAGAATTGTTCCAGACCGATACACTCGAGCACCTTGTCATGATTCCCATACGCCTTTGCCTCTTTGAGCCACTCCCCCATGTTGGCCATTAACTTGTAAGCAAACTCCGGGTATGAATCATTGTTCTCTTTCACGGCATTGCGAAATTTTTGTCTGAAACCTTCCGCTGACAACCTGTATTTCCTGAGAAGGCTCGACTTTACCTCACTGTACTCGTCAGCCTCCTCTTTCGGGAGGCGCGCGATTACTTCTGAGGCCTCCCCCGGAAGTAGGGACAACAAGCGTTGAGGCCATGTATCCTGGCTGAAACCTTGCCTTTCACAAGTTCTCTCAAAGTTGACGAGGAACAGCCCAATGTCCTCCCCTAGCTTGTACGATCTCATTAGGTCCGTCATTTTGAACCTGACCCGCTCTGCGGTACCGGATGCCTCGCTGCCTCCTGCTCAACTATTATGGATAATCTATAGCTGGAGGCGCTTCATTTCAAGCTCGTGCTTTCGCATCTTATCTGCCTCGGCTTCTGCCGCCTTTTTTTTGGCCTCGGCCGCGGCCGCCTTTCTTTCGGCCTCTGCCGCTTGCCTCTCCTGAATCTCCTCGACACATTCTGACAGCTCGTCATCCTCCGCCCCCAATGCGAGAATCGCCTCTATCAGCTCTGGCTTTCTTTGAGAGTCCGACACCTCCAGATTCAACTCCCTTGCAAGTAGCAACAACATGGACTTTCGCAGGGATTTCAGATTCATGGCTGCCTCCAGTACCGCTGTCTCTGTTCCACAAAGATTCCTGTCCTGCAACTAATTAACCTTGACGGCAACGACAGCTCTAGGTTCCTGCCTTGCCTCAAGTTTTCCGTTAACTTAGTCTACAAATAAAGCTTCAAACAGCTCTTATACGGAATCCTGCCCTGCAACTGTTAACCTTGACGCCACTGACAGAAAGAGCTTAACCAAGCTATCACACAATTTCTGCCTGACGCAAGTTACCTGTTAACCCAATGACCAAGACAGCCCCTCTCTACTAGCTTTTACTTAACACATAGAGTAAATGCCTGGTAAAATTTAACAGAGAAAGCCGGCACTCACCCAGTTCGCAGTCATGTCTCCGGCGTCGTGCCTCTCAGAAGTGCCGTTCGATTCCCTCTGGAAGTCGATGAGCTCGTGTCATCCTTCTCCTGTCGTCCCGTTGTTGGACTTCGGGCTCACTCCGTCCAGTGGTCGCTTTCGGGGTTATCAGCATCCCGCCGCTGCCATCCAGTTGTTGGGACTCCGGGTCCTGCCGGTCTCGTTTTCGGTAGCTTGCCCCGTCGCAGGATCCATCGTCCAACAATTCAGCGAGAAGAAGCGCCCGAACGAACGACAGAGATTTATTTACATGTGGAGAAGTGGTCAACTGATCCAAAGAGAGAAGAGAGAGAGATACAAAACGTCTTCGGCATTTTATAGCGCCGCGTTGCCGACACTGGGCGCCTTGTCCGCATCGTCAGCCAATACGGTGTCCCCGGCACTTCAGCCACGAGGGAGGGGGAAACACACCTCACAACACATGGAGTGGCACAACCTAACACGATGTCCATATATGGTCACGGCGCCCAAAAAAATGCCCAAACATGGTCACGAACGCACAGCAGATTCCGGAATTCTCCCGGCGAGAGGAGGAGCCTGAATGGGGAGGTGGGGGTCGACGACACAGTCGGTCAAGAATCGGTTCCCCCCGCAACTCCTCTTGCTTGGTTCCCTAGGGCCGGTCATAACATTGGCTATAGTCGGATACAATTACCGAAGTTCGAATCGGGGCAGCCGATCGCCTCAGGAATGTTCTCTAAAGGCCGTACAGCTCATGACGTCAGCCCGGCTTCCGTGCATGCAAGGAAATGCCTCGTACTTGTAAAGTTGTATCCGACTATAGGTTCTGATACATCGACCCCGTGGACGAAATACGCGTATAAACATCAATTTTTGATTAACTTGACTAATCCAGTGTTTCAGCGTAGAAGAAATGTATATGGCGTAAAAGTAAACATAGGGTGTATAATTTTACCGATCTGGCAGAACGGCGTGAACATTTTTGCCCTGAATGAATGACCACTTGCATAAAAAAAGATAACGAACGCCATGCCATTTTGTACTTTAGAGACAACAGGGTTTCTTAAGTACTTCAAAATTTCATTTTGAGGCCACCTTTGATAATTTTCAGAATAAAAATCACTTTCATTTTCATAATAAAAATTCCTGGATGTCATTTTCATAATTTGAACAGCTTGTATGTATGACAGATTAATGCACCCATACAATCTATGTTCAAATGTTATTCCTGACAATGTAAAATGAACATATGTAAACACACTCCTTATGTAATGCCTTGTTGGGCGTTTCGGTAATGAAATGATTGGATTGGTATGTGGGGTTTAACGTCCCAAAACCACTACATGATTATGAGAGACGCTGTAGTGGAGGGATATGGAAATTTTGACCGTCTGGGGTACCTTAACGTGCACCCAAATCCGAGCGCACGGGCCTATACAGCATTTTCACCTCCATAGAAAATTCAGCCGCCGCAGCCGGGATGTGATCCCGCGACCTGCGGGTTATGCAGCTTAATACCTTAGTATAGACCATTGCGGCGGGGAATCTGCGAGGAAACTGTCATGCTTTTGAGTGCGCGTATTTTGCGCGACATATATGAGCCATATCGGGCACTGCGTTCCGGATGATTTGGTCTTGAAGGCGTGTTCTTTAGAATAAAGATAAACGCACGTCTGCACCATATTTTTAGTGGGACGACTCGAAATTATCGGCTAAAGCAGGGTGTTCATCATATGTTAACCATCTATTTCATGATTGTTGCTTAAGTTCTTGTTCTTATATACTTCGCAAAGATACTATGTGATTGCATGACTGGACAATTATTTTACAATGACAGCCATGTGGGAAGATAATGCGGGAATTATCCATTCCAACTTTAGTTTCCATGATCATAACGATCGAAACAGCCACATAAGATGAAGCAAGGAAAAAATAAAGCAGGTAAAGATGTCTACGTAAAATCTCTTGACACATTTGAGTTTTTTCAAAGTTTGGGCGAAGGTTATGGAAGGAGGAATAGTCTGTGAGATTTTTTTTTCAATCGCATGGGGATTTCATTACCGGGCCCGCACCTCTCTTCAATCCGATCCGATAGCGTGAGGCCTTTGTGCAGGTCCGACCGCGAGCATTGATAACGCGACAACAGGGACAAAGAGATCCTGTTGGCGGCCTCGGTGGGAAAACCCGTACGATGGCTCTGGGAAGCGCCGGCCGTGGGCGTCGGTTATCTCGTTCTCAGTTGACCGTAAAGTACGCTCCGTGAGGACGTTTTGCGGGCACACAGCGAAAAGAACTGGTCGCTTCTCTGCACAGGTAAGCATTCGGCCTGTTTTGAGCTCCCCTGTTAATGACCCAGTCCTAGCCGCCATCACACCAATGTATACTACTGTCAGAGTACGCCTCAGTAGACCAGTTAGTACCACTGGACCTGTTATTATTGTCAGAAACGACAATTCCAAGCAGTGACGATGATTATGACGTGCCGCATATCAACCAGATGCTTGCGTCGATTCCGCTACCCCCCCCCCCCCTCCAAAGGACAGTCGGGGTGTGGTATGGAGAATCATCGCATTGGCTTATTTCACCCTTTGTTGTTCGCTTATATTTAGTTTTCTACAGTGATATGCTGTTACGCACCCGCAATCTCAAAGGGTTGATGGTCTGTGATTCACACTCCATAACGTAAATGATTTTATCCTAAAATGGTCGTATAAAGAGCCGAATCACGTTTGCTTGTTTATACGTGTACATTCTGTTCGAATCTATTGCGACGCGTGATGCCGCGGACGCGCACCAGACTTCTGTTAACATGGCTGGAAAAGGATAATTTTGACATTTCTTTGCGATATAGATAAAAGATACGTAGATGAGGAGTACAGCATACTAACAAGTTGCTTCTATACAATCGATGCTCGAAATTATACATTCTCATTATTCTCTTTTGCAGCCGCTTCTAGTTTATGATTATACATGAGTTTCCTATTTATACACTATAGAGGTAACTCCGGCGCTAATGTGTGTGGGAGCTGCAACGCATGGCGCTTCAGCGAGCATGGGAATTATAGGTAGCACACGGATTTGCCTATAGTCTTCGTACATTACATACCTTTTGGCTTCGCGCGCCTTCAAGCTGCTTCGTCACGAAACAGTAATCGGCAAATGTTCAGCAGTTGCGCTTCACCATCTAAACTTTTTAAGCTTACCATTTCAAATCGGGTCACGGAGTTCAAAAGGGTCCATTCTTTTTTTTCAAAACAAAACTAAAATACAGCAATAAACGAATCCAAAAGTGCGATTCGCCGCCGACAAGTACGAAGACTAGGCAAATCCATGTACTACTCATCACTCCCATGATCGCTGAACGATCGCAGTGCCAGTCCCCTCTAGTTAATTATAGGAAACTCTGTGTGGTTATACGTTTGCGATGAGATGGGTAGCAAACATGCAAGGGTCGTTTGCTTGCAAATTTATTTACTCGTGTTACTTGACCTCGTTGTCTTCTAATATTCTGCATCAATTGTAATTTAACATTTTTTCGACATACAGGCCATGTAATATATTGTCCGCCACCGTCTGCAGGACTCGGAGCTCCTGCAACAGTTCTACGCAGGCACATTGTAGCGTTTTACTTATACCAGGGCAATGCGCTATGTCAATCTTAAAATGGCACGAGGTCTCATAATTTGTTGCCTGTTTATATACTTAGAAGTACGGAAGCTTGGGCGAGTTTGTACGACATTAATCAACAAATTCGAAGCGCAGAAAACAAGGACCGAAAAGTAGTCTTCGGTCCTTGTTTTTCGCGCTTCAAATTTGTTCCTGAATGTTTATATACATTCGTGATCTTGACACATTGAATTTCATATTACAGCTTGGAACACATTGGCATGCGTTACAGAGCAAAGTCATATGTTCGTAAACAACCTTTAAAGTTTTATAATGAATCGGGGCGAGTCTTACGCTTAAGTGAAAATTTGTGCTTTCGAGCGAATGGTACAGGTAATTTTATGCGAGCGCATAGTGTTTATGGCGGAAATGTTCTTCGTAAAATGACGCTAATGAAATGAAACGCTACGTCCTTTCTTTTGTTGCTGGCTTTGCCTTTGCTTCTCTCTACATTGACGCTCGTCCTATGCGTAGGTTTCTCCAACGCATCCGAATGCTTATTCATTTCTCATAGAAGTGGTCAAAAGTTCGGCTTGCAACTTTAGCAGATTCGATAAGAGTTAATCAACACTTTTAGCACCACCGCTAATCTTTCGACACTCAGGTGCGTTTTATTGAAGCCACCAGGCCCAGCTTCTTGGATAAAAAAAAAACTGCTCTCGGAGAAGAGACCCTAGGTCCGCGACATGTACGAATTTTCGCATGAGGAAGACCAAAAAAAAAGTCTGTTGCATTTTTCAAAGGTTACTGGTAATGACGAGCATCTGTGAACTGTCACAAATTTGTGATTTTAGGAGAAACATTTTGTGTTCACGTTAATGACCTCTTTTGTAATTTTCTAGCCCTTCATCTTTATTTATTTATTCTATCTACCCTTCTTCCTTTCCCCATGCTCAAGTGTAAGGTGGCAAACTGGGAAGTCGCTCGGCTAACCTCTCTTTCTCTCTGTCTTCCCCTGGTTCATATTTGATCACTTTCACCGCAGTCAGCTGTTTCTGAGGTCGATTTCCTACAATCTCTGCAGCCGATTTCTTCAATTGCCCGTTGGCTGCTTCCTCGCATCTCGCTCCTTTTATCAACGAACCCAACGGCACACACTCAGTAGCCCAAATTTTATAAGGTGCCCTCTTTAAGCACTAGCATTTGTCGTGATGTTTCTAAAAAGTGACGTAATAACATACATTAACTAACTTAATTTATTGCGTTCGTAAATGAGCAGGCAATTTCCTACACCTAATTCAGTATAAAGTGTATAAGATTTTTACAAGAACGAATTTATTTCGATGTTAGTCGTCGTTGCCTACGTTTAAATATACGGGCTATGATATCTAAGCTTTTCGGGGTCCATCACAGAGGCATAGTCAACATGCAAAATTTATTTGGGGCCATCGAATCAAGTGTAATCTCATCTAGGAAAAAACTTGACATTCACCAGACTTATGCAGCTCTATATACAGTTTAGAAGAGCGAATTTCGCAGAGTAACTGTCGACTAGCTTACTCACTTGGTCGTGATAGACAGATCTGAGCTCTCAAGTTCAATGTTTAAAACATCTTGCTTTTCGTGTGTTCGAGTAAGTCTATATCCTGACCTCTAGCCATCAAGCTTGTCTGTTAAATAGCAAATGTTGGCAGCATATACGAGCGCTCATTTTGCTCACCTTACTTACTAGCGATGGATGCGTTCCAGTCGCACATCATATTTTTGGACAGCTGAGATACTTCTTTGGCGCCTGACCAACTAAACAGTGGTTGTATCCAGAAGTGAGTGAGCGAAAAAGAAGAAAAACAAACTAGCCCAGCTTCCACTACTAAGTCGCGCAAAACTGGGTCACAGCAGAGCTGGTGGGCACCGAACTGGTCCTGGCTTGGTTACGCTTTTATCCTGATGCCTGCCTCTTTCCCACCGTTTGCTATGCGATATACTATACTTGCTCTATTTTTTTTTTGCCTGCGTCTTTTTGTTGCTTTCTTTCTTTCTGTGTTTGTTGGCAAATCTGGACCATAACAGCTCCACTGTAAAACTCCAGTTGCGCGTATGTATACCCCAGAATTTGGGCAAAATCTCAGTACTCACCACACTGGTTCACTAAAAACGAACAAGATAACACACGGGTGGCAAACACCGATTAGCATTCGCGCCTTGCAGCTTCGCTTGTGAATGTATACAGAGAGTGCTCGGGTGGTGATTGAGCGCGTGCCGTTGATGATAATGGTCATTTTCTGTCTACGACGCACGGCTGACCTCGATAATGACAGCTCGGCTGTAAAACAAAACCAGTAGGTGTAGGAAGGAGGTCTGAACACGCTCGCACCTGCGTCTCTCAACCGTTTCTTTCACCCAGCGTCAGCTGTAGTTCCAGGAGTTATATTTGTTTGTTCTTTAGCCTATATATATCTGATAACAAGGTCAAAATGGTAATATATAGTGTCGCTTATTCTTATATACTCTTGCTACTCAATGTACAGGAAATCGAGCCCATGGACGAGATAGACAGTGGGGAGAGCGCACTGTTTGAGCGTCCTCGCAACGCTGTGCTTCTGGGCTGCTCTGCGGCGTCGATGTTGGCCACGGCGACTGGCCTGTTCGCCGCTATTTTCCTGCACCCGGCGTTGGTGTTGGTGCTCGTTTTCGGCAACGCGACGAGCGTGGCGTTGGCGATGCGCTTCGGCTACCGGGCCTACGAGCCGCCGACGAACAATGCCAAGGCTTCCGCCTGCAAGACGGTCGTGCCGGTCATTCAGATACATCCGCCTAATATGACCACCGAACTGTAGGGCACCATTCGGCTTCAACAGTGCCTATGAACGTGCATGGAGTTCGAGCCCAGCTTTCGGACTCCGCTGAGAACACAGTGTGCTCACTTTCCGATTACGTGATCATCGAGAGTGCGAAATGGTCGCGTGAACTTTCGTGCCCTGCAATCGACGCCGTGTATACACGTTGGCTGAGACACACGTGTCGCCGCTTCGATTTTATTTGTGCCGGAGAATAGTTTGCATGATAAACTTCATTCGCGTTCCTACAAAACGTCACAGTCTACGACGGCATCGTCAAGGAAAGCACAGGTGAAAGCCTATGTGCTTTCACGGGGCACTCATTAAATTGCTTCGACTTTCCCAGTTGACCGTTATTCTTCCCACCCGCCCAGCCCCGTTTTGAAGCTCTCTGCACCTCACGTGGAGTTGCAAATCTTCTTGGACCAACCCGTCGTTGACGAAGTAACGATGCTATGTGATGACGTCATTGATGACATTTTGTGACGTAATTTTGGTACTGTCTGTGTTTTCAAGGCAGGATGGCAGAGTTTTACAATCATCAGACATATCTAAGGCTTTCGCCTTCATCACTACTTCTGTATACTACGTCGTAGATACTGCGTTGTAGTTGCCTGTAAAGTTGGTTTGCTACAACTTAGAAGAATCGGTGAGGAAGTCGAACGAGTATGATGAAGGGGTTCAAGGTAGCCATTGGTGGCTACTTTGTGACAAAGTGGCTACTGTAGGACCACGTCTGCATGGCCACAAAAGTGTCAGGTTGGTGCCATGGCTAACTTGAACTTTTATTTCGGCGCATTTAGTATCCGATTTCTTATCACTTGCATATAAAAGAACAAGCAGACACAAAGACCACCCACAGTTATTTTTTTCGCGCTTTTCTGTCGTCTCAGCCGATGCGCGCGCATGTCCTCGCCCCACTGCAGCGGCGGCAGGTTGATGAGCATAGAGGCACCCCCACATAACACAAGGCGCGCCTGCAAATACGTACTGAGAAAGTTCCGCGAATTTTGGCATACGCGTGGCAAGCGCGCTGCACAAACAGATGTTGGTTAGTAATGCTGATGGCACAGCCCGTGTTCTCGCGCGAACTTGTCAAAAAGAAAAACCTGGACCATAATAAAGCTGTTCTGAAACTATAGGGTAAACTTACTAAAAACTTCGGTCTCTGGCTTCAAGTAAGAACTGTTTCAACGTTTAATGTTCCCACTAACTTACTGCCTCGAATGTTTCGAAATAGCTCGGTCCCTGGCAAGACGCTGCCCTGCATAAATTATACTTAGGCGCACTGAATATATACCAACTTTTGATGATGGCGGGGATGATTTGAGGCTGGGCTCTTTATATATGGCGGACGAGACTAATTTGCCCTAGCCAGAGAATTCGATATAGTTTCTCTGATTAGAGTTTCTGCATATGCTGTCTTAAGGGAGCTTCCGTAGGGAGTATATGCAGTAACTGCACCACCTAGGTCCCCCGAAACACTAACACACTGCCTATTTACATATTGAATATCGTCGCGTTAGAACCGCGTCACTTGTTATGAATATTGATATGTTCATATATGATGCAATATAACTAGGAAGAATGTAATATTCCTTCTAACTGCAATCGCGCTGCCAGAATCAGCCGCGAAATCCATCTTTTTGCCTCTCGAACCAATTTATTGGAATATACTCATCCTCATCATCATCATCAGCTTGAATACGTCCACTGCAGGACAAAGGCCTCTCCCATATTCCGCCATTCAACTGGGTCCAGTGCTTGCTACTGCCAATTTATACCAGCAAACTTCTTAATCTCATCTGCCCACCTAACCTTCTCTCTCCCCTTCTAACCCGCTTGCCTTCTCTAGAAATCCAGTTAATTACCCTTAATGACCAGTGGTTATCCTGTCTACGCGCTACATGACCAGCCCATGTCCATTTCCTCTTCTTGATTTCAACTATGATATCCTTAACCCCGGTTTGTTCCCTAACCCACACTGCTTTCTTCTTGTCTCTTAAGGTTACACCTATCATTTTCCTTTCCACTGCTCGCTGCGTCGTCCTCAATTTAAGCTGACCCCTCTTTGTAAGTCTCCAGGTTTCTGCTCCGTAGCTAAGTACCGGCAAGATGCAGCTGTTATATACCTTCCTCTTGAGGGATAGTGGTAATCTACCTGCCATGGTTTGAGCGTGCTTGCCGCATGTGCTCCACCCCATTTTAATTCTTCTAGTTACTTCAGTCTCGTGGTTCGGCTCCGCGGTTATTACCGGTCCTAAGTAGACAAGTCTTTTACAACTTCAAGTGCACGATTTCCTATCTCGAAGCGCTGTTCTCTTCCGAGGTTGTTCTACGTTACTTTCGTTTTCTGCAGATTAATTTTAAGACCTACTTTTCTTTTCTCCTGGTCTAACTCCGTGATCATGAGTAGCAATCCGTCCCCTGAGTTACTCAGCAATGCAATGCCATCGGCGAAGCACAGGTTACTAAGGTACTCTCCATTAACTCTTCTGCCTAACTGTTCCCATTCTAGGCCTCTGAAAACATCCTGTAAGCACGTGGTAAATAGCATGGGGGAGATTGTATCACCCTGCCTTACACCCTTCTTGATTGGTATTCGGTTGCTTCTTTATGAAGCAATACGGTAGTAGTTGATCCCCTGTAGATTTCTTCCAGGACGTTTATATATGCTTTGTCGACGCCTTGATTCCGCAGTGTCTGCGTGACTACTGATATTTCTACTGATTCAAATGCCTCCTCGTAACCTATGAAGGCTATGTATGGTGGTTGGCTATATTCTGAGCATTTCTCTATTACCTGATTGATAGTATGAATGTGGTCGATTGTTGAGTAGCCTGTTCAAAATCCTGCTTGTTCCTTTGGTTGATTGAATTATAATGTTGTCTTAATTCTGTTAGCAATTACCTTTGTAAATAGCTTGTATAATATGGAGAGCAAGCTGATCGGCCTGTGATTCTTCAAGTCCTTGTCATCTCCTTTCTTATGTATTAAGATGATGTTAGCATTCTTCCAAGATTCTGGTACTCTTCCCGTCAGGAGGCACCTCGTAAGCAGGGTCGCTAGTTTTTCTAACACAATCTGCCCTTCATCGTTCAGCAGATTTGGTGTTACCTGATCCTCATCAGCAGCTTTGCCTCTTTGCATGCTCTCCAAGGCTTTTCTGACTTCTTCTATCAGAACTGGTGGGGTGTCATCCAGGTTACTGCTAGTTCTTATATTAAGGTCATGGTTTTGCTGGCTACTGTACAGATCTCTGTGAAACTTCTCCGCTAATTTTACTATCCTATCCATATTGGTTATTACTTTGCCTTTCTTGTCATTTAGTGCACACATCTGGTTTTTTGCCTATCCTAAGTTTTCTCTTCACTGTTTTGACGCTTCCTCCTTTCTTCAGAGCGTGTCCGATTCTCTTTACGTTATACCTTCTTACATCGGATACCTAACGCTTATTAATCAACTTCGAAAGCTCTGACAGTTCTAATTTGTCTGTTGTACTTGAGACTTTCATTATTTGACGCTTCTTAATGAGATTCTTTGTTTCCTGGGACAGCTTGCCAGTGTCCTGTTTAACTACAGTACCTCCAACTTGCACGGCACACTCCGTAATGATACTCGTCAGATTATCATTCATTGCGTCGACGCTAAATCTGCTTTTCCTCGGTAAGAGCCAAGTACCTGTTCTGAAGCGAGACTCTGAATGCCTGTACTTTCCCTCTCAGTGCTAGCTTTTTTATTGGCTTCCTGCGTATCACTTTCTCTAGTTCCTTCTTCAAGTCTAGGCGAATTCGGGACCGTACTATTCTATGGTCACTGCATCGTACCTTGCCAAGCACTTTCACATCCTGCACGATGCCTGGGTGTGCACTTAGTATAAAGTCTATTTCGTTCTTATTTTTGCCATTGGGGCTCCTCCATGTCTACTTACGGTTCCCTCGCTTTCGGTAGAAGGTATTCAATATCCGTAAATTATTGCGTTCTGCGAAATTCTACTAGTAGCTCCTCTCTGGCATTTCTAGTGCCGATGCCATAATATTTTACTGCCTGGTCTCCAGCCTGTTTTTTTCGTATACTTTTGCATTGAAGTCTCCCATCAGTATAGTATACTGCGTTTATACCTTACTCATTGCCGATTTTATGTTCTAATAGAAGCTTTCAACTGAAGCGTCATCATGGCAGGGCGTAGGCGCATAAGCCTGTACTACCTGCATCTTGTATCTTTTATTCAGTTTAATTACGATACCTACCACCCTTTCATTAATGCTATAGTATTCCTCTATGTTTCCAGCTCTGTTTCTGTGGATAAAGAACCCCACTCCCAGTTCTCTTCTTTCAGCCAAGTCCGGATAGCAAAGGACGTGCCCGTTTTGTAGCACTGTATAGGCCTCATCTGTTCTCCTAACCTCACTGAGCACTATTACATCCCATTTAACACCCTCTAGCTCCTCGAATAGTACAAACAGACTTCCCTCACTAGATAAGGTTCTAGCGTTAAACGTCGCCAAGTTCAGGTTCCAATGGCGGCCTGTCCGGATCCACAGATTCTTAGCACCCTCTGCTGCGTTGCAGATCTGACCACCACCATGGTCAGTCGCTTCGCAGCCGCTGGGGTCTGAGGGCCGTGAGTTAATTGACGTATGCATGTGGAAGGTAGTGGCCAGATACTGCACCAGGGTGGTCAATTCTTCTCTGGTGAGAGAGTGCGTTACCGGCGGTGGTCACCGGTGAGGCCGCACCCCAGGCCTCTAAATGCAGTTCCATCTCTACGTCGACATTTTTTTGAAATCCGGTTGGGAACTGCGTGGCACCGGGATTTGGGCCAGGGATCTCTTGCATGCGAGGTTGATGTTCGAACCACTACGCCATTGCTGCCTATAGAATATACTACCGTAGCGTTTATTTTATCACAACACTATATGCATTATCATGTTTGGTTATAGCTATGAAGTAGGTATTCCATTTTGTGTTTTGTGTCACATAACATTTTTGTTTGTATTTTATTGGCTATCTTCTCTAATTCCCTTAGTCTTGAGGGTAAATAAACAGAGAATTAAATATTTTTTGCAACTCACCAGTGGCTTTCTTGGGAAACCAAGAAAGAGGTAAAATTGTGCTTTTATTTTGATGGTTTTGCATATTCGATAACATTTATTTCATGATGATAAAAACTGCAGTCATAATACCGCTTTCGTTCAATATCGCTACAAATACGATAATACGTTCAAATGGCATGGCTAATTTGACTACCTCTAGCACTTTACGTTTAGCTTGAATTCTGGCTTCTTTTCAAACAAATACGATGGCAACCGTGACGGCACCGAAGGCGCAGTACTCTGAAATGA